TCGGTCTGTCATTCTCATAATGATGCCTTTCAAATCCTGCAAAATTACAGTACCTTGCCGTAGTTGTGAAAGGTCTCGGTAACCATGGATGGACATACATACCTAGGGAAGTAAAGGTGGGAGTTCCGCTGCAGTCTAAGGCGGAATCTCTTGCTTCGAAGTAATAACTTCCTCATATTTCCCAAATGAGTATAAGCGAGGGTAGTGCTGTTATGTCCTGAACCGTGCCATTATAAACCATCTTATAAGTGTACCCCTGAGAAACGAGGAGCCACAAGTTTTTCACTGCTATGCTTTCACACTTGTGCTTGAAGACACTCGCTAATCTTTGAGAAATCGGCTGTGCAGTGACGAGTGAGTGCAGTAATAACCTCTTTCTTAAATGAGTAATTTTTTCAATTAAGGCATTTGCGTGGTTCTCTGACTTACTAGCCGACCATTCGGAAATATTCTGGTCACTGTACTCAGTTGACCTCGATTCTGCTATGGAAGTACAACCAGCAGATTCATGGGACGCTTTTCCGCTTTTTCAAACGCTCAATGATTTCCTGCTCAATGAAAGTGAGTTAGGTTATAAATGGGCACCCATCACTTTCTTTGAACTAGGGCAGAAGGAACTTCAAGGTGGAGGTGACCTCAGAAGCGTTGCTAACGCTATTCCTTTCAGAGTCGTTAAATGGAGGAATTTTCCACAAAAAACTCACCACTCAATTCCAACCGCTAGTAGTTCGATACACAGACCTGATGGAGCATTCTATATCGCAATCAATCGACAAAGGTTTTTCCAAGGAGAAATGGGAACCCAGAAAGTAGGCTCTGAAAACTAAGATCCTATAGGACAGTTGTTGATTCTTAATTGCTACCTGTAAACTTTCAGAGAGGGGTGTGCCACTTCTGAGGATATTTACTGGAAGTTGGACGCCCTTCACACCTTCGTCGTTGATTTGAATTGGCCTGAAGAGGAATTCCGTCGATACCTGACAGTCAGAATGAAGAGTTTGACGTCGGATATGATCTCAAAGGTGGCAAGCAGGTTAGTAAGTAGATGATATATCGCGGGTAATGGTCTAATGTACCATAGCTTACCTTCATACTTAGATAATTCTTTGACTTGATGCATTACTACAATCGCCATCTTTTACAGATGAAGATGGCACGACTGTTCTTCTGGTAACTACCGTTCCAGAAGGCAGCAATTTCGTTTTTGAACGCTGAGAACTGCTGCGACCCTTACGAAACGCCTCATTTTTTGCATAAGGGGCTCTAACCATCTGAAAAGAAGCGTAGACCATAGGCAACAAGCTGTTTGCTGGAATTGTGCAGCAACGCAGCATGGGTGGCTTTCTAACAAGTGGGTGCTTTTAACTCTGCATTGTGTTGGGCCAAGGTGATCACAGTGACAGTTAACGGTACGAGTTTACCCGGAAGTGGTCAAGTTTGGCAATGGAACCGAAATAGGTTTGGGATTGCTTAGCCAACGAAACCACCACGCAAATCTATACCCATTAAACAACTCACCATCGTTCTATGATTTGTTATGGGATCATATTCTTGTCATAGTTGTATCATGAAATTTCAGCACATACCAGCAATTTGATTCATGGATGCAACGTGCCCGAAAGTCTACCGATTACATCTTACCGTCGGAAGTATGCGTCATGATTAACGTCATATTCAGCTCAAAGACCCGAGCAACAAGGATGTCTGTTGATGTCGGAGAGGTATGACTTCATTTTGAGGCTTTGTTATTGTACGAATTTTGGTCAGCGGTCTCTGGTACAAGACTGGGTCATGCATTCTTAGGTGGATTCATGACAGGGAGTGAAATTAATGTCTACGAGCAAGTGTAAAGCTGAGTGGTTAAGGGTGAGGTGGGTTAAGGGTGATTCTTGATTCCCTCACAGATCGGGGCGATGCTTAGCTAGCTGCCTCGGCACGAGCATTGTCTTACTTGGTGTGTTACTTGGCCATCTCGCAGCGCTGCATACAGTTGAAAACGACCGCTCCTCGCCGAAGGGGGCGGAAATAGGCAGAGATAGTGGCTCACCAGCCGTGTGATAGATGTCACAGTGGGCCCAACATGTTGAGCCTTATCAATGAAAACGGACGAATTTTGAATCCGTTTGGGTTCTTCATGGAAATCAGACGTGATGGGTATGCAAATGGACTCCTGGGGTTTTCAACCGTCAACATGAGGAAGCTTTTAGATTGGAGATTTGATAGGGATTAGTGGGAGGATAACGACCTTCACTGTAACGTTCCACTATCATAACACCTTTTCAGTTCAAATACCAGTCCAAACTGGATGAGACGTTGGACACGATGCTTTCGGACATGGAGACGTGCATCCAAGACCGACTGATTGGTGTACTGGAGTTCACTCTTGGTAAACTTGCCCGTTACGACGAAGGCAACCCCATCGGAGCTCTTCTGAGCATGGCGGTAAGTAATACGTCAAAAGCTAATTGAAAAAAACTTTTTCATTGAAATTGCCTCAAAATGTTTTTTAGCCAAAACCGACTTCAATATTTAACAAAGTCAAGACGATGGTGGGCGAGCAAGGTATCAACATCAGTGGCACCGCTGCAGCTACACCTACCACACCTCAAAATGCGGTAGTGAAACCCTTTGGGTCTTCGGAAAATGGCTAGTCACACTACTGATTACTTTACAGAAAGCTCTAGTCACACAACAGCAATCCACCGGACACATGGGCAACTCATATGTGACGTTTATGCGCGGTTGCACAGAACAGCTACGGCAGATTGTCACCGACGAAGTTTGGGTGAACACTTTGTTTGAGGTAAGGTAATTGTTATTAAGCATCAACGCACCATTCGTTTCAAAGAGTTTTCGTTCTGTTTCCTTTTTTTTCGGTCATTCGGACCATTTGACATACCCACTTTCACCTTCGTCCATTTCCAAATGATGAGAGAATCCCTTCAATAGGAAAAATACCCATCTGGAGAAATAGAAAGAAGTAGTCAAGAAAGGTCTCTCGAAGAACTGGACCAACTTTAGCCAGAATCGATACCAAAGGTAATGAGTAAAGCCCTCAGCGTCTTTCCTGGCTGCGCCATGCGCACAGCTTCGACTCGGCATCGATTAGGTCTTCGAAGTGCACTTCAGATGCTTGGAAACTAAAATAGGGGATAACGGAAGTTTTAAATTTATGATCATGGTGGCGACTTGACGATTTATCGATGTTTAGAACTGGTATGCCAACCAAGTAAAAATGATCAACGAATGGTTGACAGAGCGGTTACAGCAGTCACTGAGCCCGTACCAGTTTACATGCCTAAGTTTCATAGTAAAGGTATGACTACTTCAGTTTGCAAGACTTATGATATCTAACTTATCCTTTTCTGTTTAGAAAATGTACAGTGACTTCGAGCTTCAAGGTATCGATGAGGAAAAATTGAATGGAAAACTCTACCAAGCTATAAATCGAAGGCTACAACTGGAAGAAACGAACGTCGCATTGCATGAAAACAGTAAATTCCATTATTTTCTGAAATCACCAATTGTTTGAAAAAGACTTCACTCACAAAAAAATTTTGGTGCTCATTGTCCAGGAAGAGTTGATTCAATACTAGTAACTGTTCCCCTTCGGTGGGCACAAAAATGCGTGGACATTTGAAGACGTGGTGGAAAAAGGAGGCGAACGTCCGTTGTGCGTGTCCGTCGAAAGTAGGTCACCCCGCCCANCACTGAGGTCTCGAAATGACATTACAGTACCACCAAGTGTGAGTGGAGCGAACGATTTGCATTTGTCTATGTTATCTTCTCTTTGGCTGACTACCGTGGAGAAAGCGCAAATCATATGCCCCGCTTACAGCTACGACGTCTGTCAAGTACCGCGGGCTGACCCGCCACATGCGACCGCTGCGGCGTGACCTAGTTTCGACGGACACGCGCAACGAAGCGCACCCGGAAAAGGGAGGGTTGCTGACCACATTGACATTGTTTTGATCGTAAGCTTGTGCACTTTACTCGTGCACTGAGCGATTTCGTCATCGTGGCTGCAGAGGAAAATATTCAAAAGTCAAAGAAAACATGAGGGGCCGAAATCAACGTGGAATTTCTAAATGGTGTTGTAAAAGGAAAACCCGCAGCTAACTAATCCCGACGGCGTTACTTCTAGCCCGTTATCACCGGAGCCATTATAAGGCCACTGAACCATCAGCACAGGGTTAACTTAATAATTCTTGTTTCAGGCAATGGACATGCTCCATCTGTCTTCCCTTCGTCTCTAGGAAATGCTTCAGCCGCCGTTTCCAATGTCTCAAGCATGGTTGAGGGTGCTGGCGCAAAAGTGTTTTCTTTCTTCAAATAATTCCGTTGACAATTCATAGTACTTTTGATAGAACCGTTAGGGAATATTACTCAATTCTAGTCTTTATTCATTCCCCTAACATTAATATTGTTCTAGTGTTTTCAGTCTGCTTAATGGTTTTGGTAGATTCTCTTCCCGATGATCTAATGATTTGCTCCTAACCACTATAATTCTAAGTCTTTCTACTTGCTTCCCCAGTTGTGCATTATAATTTTGCAAATGTGTATGAAAATCGCTTTACGGTTAACGGCCGGCTTTTGTGGAGAAGTAACGGTCACGGATTTTGGTCGTCAAAACATTGGACGTGGTCGCACCATGTTCAGAGTGAGCGCGTGATCGCGCGGGCGGCTAGTCACTGAAGGCTTTCCGTTGTCGACTTTACCGGGCGAATCCAATTTTTCCACAAAAGCAAGCTCCATTTTCTTCCGGACCTCACTCTGAATGTGAATGGAGCCTCAGCCTGAGTTTCGCTTCATAGAATGTGATTATATAGGATGCAAATACAGTGTTATTAATATGAGTGTGGCATGGAGTAG